TGGGGGGGAGGGGGGAAGGAGAAGGATTGGGATGGGGGGGAGGGGGGAGGGGGGAGGCTGGGAAGGGATGGGAAGCGTAAACAAAGGAGGAGGCTGCAATGCTTGCTAAGAAATGTACGCATTATCCTGCCCATGCAATTGTAACCCCTCTGTACAGTATGTTCACAAATAAAATAAAATAAAATTTTTTAAAAAAAAGAAAGAAAGTGAATTAAGTCTTCCAAAGCTCCTTGGAACTTTTGTATATCAGTTTCATAAAACCAAGGAAAAATTTAGTCTTCTAAATATGGTTTTAGAAATTTTAGATTATTAGTGATCCTTACCGTGGGTTAGAAGGAGAAGGTGGGTTCATTTCTTTCTGATAGTGGCGACCCTGGTTGACAGGCTGTAAAAGACAAAATGTGTGAGGTATCAATCAGCACAACTCTTAATGTATATATTTACATGCATTTTCAGTTCTGTAATTGTTTTCTGAGGCACAGATCAAAGAAGGGTCTGGATTTATTTTACAGATGATCTAGTAAAAAGCAGAGTGGAATAAAGAAAGAACACAGACTCTTTTAATGGCCAACACTGAGCTCAGTTGCATCTATGGTGTAATTAAAGGTCATGTGTTAGTATCCTCCCTTTTGTAGAATCGTTATGCCATAAAAATGGTTGAAGATGGGCACTGATAGCTCATGCCTGTAATCATAGTAACTCAGGAGACAGATTTAAGGATTGTGGTTCAAAGCCAGTTTGGGCAGGAAACTCTGAGATTCTTTAATTAACCACCAAAAAGCTGGAAGTGGAGCTATGGCTCAAGTGGTAGAGCTATATCCCTGAGCAAAAAAGCTAGTCAAGCCCCAGTATACGCATAAAAGCAAACAAACCCCAATGATCAATATTTCTAGACAGAGCAAAATAAAACAAGATATCCTGCGAAGTAATACTGCCTTGTGAGCATGAGTAATAATACAGAGACAATGAAAATATGTTTATGTTTCACTGTTAATAACTTTTCAAGATAACATGTACTGCTGTTAATGAAAATGACATATATAAATCTAGGTGGCCATTTTTCCCAAGTGTACAATACAGATCTAAGCAGTGATTGGTGACCTGAGGAAAACTGACGCTAACACCTAACAAGAATGTGAAATTTCAACTTTTCCTTACACAAGAAACCTTTACATTGTTATTGTGTAACAGTTAAAAAACAGCACCCTATGTAAGCCTAAACTCTGCCTGTAATGGAACTTTCCCTCCTTTGTTCTACAAATGAAGAAAATTCTGTTAGTTAATGTAAATTTCTCTTTTGAATATCAACTCCAAGTATTTTCCTCATATGGTTCAGAACAGTATAATTCTTTTTAGCATTCTTGTTTTACTACATGTTAGAATTTGGTACTTTTTTTTTTTTTGCCAGTCATGGGGCCTGAATTCTGGGCCTGGGTGCTGTCCTTCAGCTCTTCAGCTCAAAGCTAGGACTCTACCACTTGAGCCACAGTTCCCCTTCCGGCTTTTTCTGCTTATGTGGTGCTGAGGAATTGAACCCAGGGCTTCATGCATTCGAGCCAAGCACTCTACCACTGAGCCACCTTCCCAGCCCAGAATTTGGTACAATTAAAAAATTTTAATCAAAATGTGACTTCCCTACCCAAAGAAGTTAAGACTTTGACACCTATAATAATGTGGACCACAGTTTTGACCCCCAACCATGGCAAATGGTGTGGCAGGGATACCTGCATAGAAAGATGTCCACATTCCTTACTTCCCACATTTTCCTTATTTTAATAGGTCTTATAGTATTAATGACATAGGTGATAGAATTCTTGAGAATAACCTGTCTTTTTCCATGAATGATCTCTTAGAAGTGATCCTTTAAATCAAGTATCCCATTTGATAATCACAGTCAGTTAGCCTGACTACCTGTGATGCACCATGAATTTAAATGTATTCAGATACTTTGGTAATTGAACCAATATCAGTGCATCACCATTTCAGTAATAAGAAACAACAGCTGGGAGAATAGTGGAAGGAAAAACATGTCATAAGGCATATTTGATCTCACTAGAGAAATAAGACTTGCAGCAATTTGAAAGTGAAATTTACTTCTATGTTTTAGGCTTTATTGTTTCACAGCAAAAAAAAAAAAGAAATTAGCAAGCAAAGGGCCTTATAGGTTTTCTAGATGAACTCACACTGGTGAAGAAATATTCCTGGTAATAAATTCATTGGTATTCATTCAGTATTTCAGCTATATGCAGGCCTCCAGTGAATAGACTTCTGCCTATTTATTTTCAGAGACATTTCCATAATTCTCTAAGAATCATAGCCCTGTTATTCAGCCAAAGGTCCATTTCTTAATTTTATGCTACTAATTCTATTTGTCCTTATTTCAAGCTCTTATTCCAAATGACTTACTCTATATCCCTTGGAAAATGGCTATAGTGTTGGACTCAGCTCGCATTTTGGACTCCACTGAGAGGATCCTGTCCATCTTTGCTCATGTTTATAAAAACAGATTTAGTTATGCAATGAAGAAAACCTCCACAACTCAGTGCAAATCTCCTTTTGGACAATATCACCCCTTCTTGTGTTCTCAGAGTGATTCTTAAGTGCTGCAAAACAAAAATATCTAATGGAAGGTTTTCAAAGTAATAGGACTGCTAACATGGACAGATAGAAGGATGAATGATAGCTTCTGTGAAGTCAGTTGTTCTCACATACACATGGATATTGAGAGGGTTCAGGACATGGTACCTTAAAATGTCACTTTGAAATGGCAGCAGCAGCACCAGCATGGTCACCTCCACCTTCTTTTGCTCCTAAGACCCTTGTGTGAGAGGTGCCCTCCCCATTTCCCATACCCAGAAGAATTGGAACAGCCTGCCTCTGAAAACTGTCTCAGAGAAGAAACGGAAACAAAGGTCATGCTAAGTTTTTTTCTAGTTCATTTCCATCAAGTCAAATCCCTCTTGTCCCATCATGTTTCTCCAGGACTCTTCACACCCAGCCAAACCTAGCATAAAATTTCATATGTTTAACCATTTCTTCACTTTCTATGAAGAAGGCTTATGTGGCACAAAAAACTTACAATTAAATAAATTTGTATGATTTTCTGTTATTACTCTGTCTTTTGTTATAGAGACCACAGCCATGAACCTAAAATGAGTAGGGAAAAGATAACTTTTCCAACCATACTCTGTTTCTGTACTTAGGTTGCAGTAAATCTATTCTTAGGTAGGTAACATCCTATGACAGCAGCAGTAAAAGAAAAATTTTTTAAAATGAATTTCAGTCATATGTGGAGGATGCTATAAACAGCTACAAAGAGATGGCAACCAATATATACATGTAACTATAACAAGAATAATTAACAACAGTAAATGATATTCCTTGAGCATTTACTCCATGCTAATTTTTTTTGTTGCAACGGGTCCACCTGTATTTTTATTTAAGCGACTTGTTTTTCCCCTTCCCCTCCACAAATTATACCGACATCAAATACAGTGAAAGCAGGGGTTATACTGTGGGGAGGGACATACAAAGCAACAAAGAAATAATCTTATAAATGCGTTAGAAACAAATGCCATGCTAATTTTTGATAGATGTCTCATTTGTTCCTCAAAGAAATTCTATAAACTCCTCAGAACGAACAGCACCATATAATAGAATAGGACACTCAGAGACTAGGCATCAACTATTCCTGATATAGCGGAGCCAAAATTTGGACACATTCAGTATTATTCTGCATCTCACCCTCTTAACTAGTTAGTAGTACTTAATCCAATGTGAAAATTCATACAGTGTTGAATACCAAGATTTTGGACAATAATTGTAACAAAATTGAATCCATTTATGGCAAAAATGAAAGGTGGCTATGAAATCAATAGATCTGAAATATATAAGACTACTCCTCTAGAATAAATTAAATTCATTTGATTTAATTCTGACATGTCACTATATATTTAAAGTTAATGAGGTTTAATTTTTTTGTACTGTTAAATTCAGGACAAATGGAAAATAAAATAATACTCTGAATAAACAAAGTTTATTTGGTAGGGCGATTTTCATAGTCACTAAACAACTTGGACATTTCAGTATTATCTCTTGACAGCACGAATAGTACACTGACTCTGACTTCAGTTTCTGTATATCTTTTTTATAGTTGTAAAACTATATCTTCTTATCTGATTTATCTATGACTTAGCAAATCAACAACTTACCTTTTTGAACTTATTTAAAAAAACCTCATACCCAAAGGGAGTCAAGAAGCTAATTAAAATCTGTAGATGAGAAGGAATTAAGATGTAAAGCACCTGATTTGTCAGTATATAATGTTTTGGATCCTCAGGAATCATGTAAGAACACCAATATGATCTTGATTTAAAAAAAAAAAAAGATTCAGCTCCTAGAAACCTGGGACCTTCCTTTTGGTGGTGCTGTTGCTATGCAATACTGCCAGGAAAACAGCACTCAAAATCTTATCATCAAATATAAGACACTGCTTTTCTATGATCACACTGCTAGAAATGTTGGAGTGAGAGAGATGTATGAAAGCTAAATAAAAGAACAAAAAATAAGATGATCTTGCTAAGTTAAAAGGTAAAGACAATATTTTAATATTGTTATATAATATCTATGAAAATGGCAATAATGTGGCAAGGTTAATCAAGACCATTAATAACTTGTCTGAGAATCTGACCATATGTTTGTAATTTTATTAAGTGCATCTTGCATCAATTTTTTCTCCAAATATGATCTGCAATATGCCATGTTAGGTGGATGTCTGCAATGAGCATTTTAATATTTTTCTAAGACTTATGTGCTTGGGGTATGTGCTCACATCTGCATTTTAGGCATGCTTTTCTTGAATCTTGGAGGGCCAAGACAATGATGAAATCACAAAGAGTTGATCTCTAAGGCTCTGTGATGGCCAGTCTGGATGCCAGTGTTTAAGCTCATATTGAATTAAGCATAAAAGCATCTCTGCCCACCCCTACAGTCCTCTACAGCTATAAAAGCAAAAGAATCCTAGAACTTTTCATGTCACTCAGTGGCCCTTTGAGGAGAACCATTTGTAGTCCGTGTGTGTGCTCACTCTGCAGCAGGGACCTCAGGCACATACCCCCATGCACTCACTTAGGTCACACGGTGGGAACATGAAGAGGTCCTCTTATTAACCCCATCTTGCAGGTGATACCAGAAAATGGCAGAGTTGGGATCTGGGCCCAGGTGGAATTTATATTTTTTTGGTGATCACCTGAAATTGTATCTACTAATAACTGTTCCTTAGGAACACACACACACACACACACACACACACACACACACACACACACACACACACAATTGTATTGTGACTCAAAATTACTCACTTAGAAATTCATTATAACTAACTCCTAGCTTCCCTTGCCAAGGCTGCCTACAGCCCCGTGTCTGAATGTCTCGTGAGGGCTACTCCTAACAGAAACCTTCAAAAATTGATTACTTGTAGCCTGGTTTCCACAGAAGTTGTAAAGTATTGTTTTAATTGAATTTGGTTCTAAGTTTGAAACTGAAAAATTTGTCTGTCAAAGGCCAATGTATTTCTCAGTAGGCTTGATTTATTTAGCATGAGATGCCTACAAAAGGCAATTTTCTATGAGAAATATGGTTACACTTAATTACACTTTAAAATGACTAATTTATTATATCTAAACACCTTTTAAACAGTACATATTATTCTGAACTGTATAGATGCTGCGGAGAGCAGCTAAGGCATCAGACTTCACATAAACACAACAGATTTTGCTGAAGACTTCAGTTCACTTGGTGTCAGCTTACTCGTTTCAGACTGTAATGTGTGTAAACTTACCAGGTAAGATACTACACTGACTAAGCTTCCTTCCTTTCCACCCTTTCTTTCCTTCCTCTCATTTCTTTTTCCCTTCCCCTCTCTCCTATCTCATCAGGCCTTGAAGATTTTTCCTCAAGGTATACACTTAATATTCACTTATCAGATTTTGAATATAAAACATGTTCTATACTACTAAAGATTTTAAAGCAAAACAAAGGTCATTTTTATTCTGGAGTTTTGAAAAAAATTGCCATACTTTGTGTGTTGTTAATTTAACAGGGTCAGTGAGGAAACTGTGTACAGGTCAGTGAGGACTGGAAAGGGCCAAAGAGGCATTAGAGCTGTTTGAGGGGTAATCGGATACAAGGTATTAGGATATGTACAGAGTGTATTTAAGAAATTATAATTAGGATGGAAGCATGGAGTGAAAGGTGAGGAGCAGTGTGAGATGAAGTAGAAATGGGGGCAGGTCTGAAATAATGGGGATCAGTCAATGGAAGCCATTGAAGGCCTTTATGAAGGGGAGAGGATCAGATCACAAATCTGAATAATAGTTATAATAACAATGATAACTAATCTTTATTAAGTTCCAGATACACGTGCAGTGTTTTACAAGGTCATAGCTTGGATCAGAACTGTGACACTCTGGCTTCTGAGAAGAGGCTTCCAGCCATCAGGGTATGGTGCCTGGGCTGCAGGCATAGAGGCACGAGGGACGATGTTAGGAATTTAGATGAAAGAATAACCACCATGGCTATGATATTAGGAAGTGAAAAGAGAGGAGCCTCAGAATTTGGAGGCCAGTTGGACATGGGGGATGAAAGTGTGGAAGGAGATCCCTTCCAATTTCTGGTTCAAGTGCCAGGGTGGATACTTGTGCCATTCACTGAGATATAAGAAGAGTAGGTTATCATTGTGATGAGACTGTGGGTTCTTTTGTTTCTCCTATCACTATCCTTGTACAGTTTCTGAACAGAGCTGGATGAACTCACAGAAATTCCACAGTGATGCTTGCAAATTGCTCTATTTAAACTCTATATGAGCTCCGGGTGCAGAGTTCATTAAGGAATGTGGTTTTCTATTTGTTGATAGTTCCAGTATTAGAACAGATTGAAATGGATGCCATAATAAACATACCTTATGAATACCAAAGGTAGGATCTCCAATATTTTCTGTCTGAAAAAATAGACTTTTCAGTTTCTCATTTAGTTGAATAGAGGGGTTATTAAGTTCATTCCTAACAGTGTTATTTTTGGCTGTGTACTTCTACGGTGCAGTAATTGTCATGCAGGAGACTTTAGTCCTTGCCAGAACAGGACACTGATGAGAACATAGTATCCAGGGCAACCAAGAGTTCAGACTTCTCAGCCCATAAATAATCATTCCTCAGCTTGCCCTCTGTCGTGCTTGTGTCTGAACTGCTTCATGGCAGAATGAGCTCCATCAGGAGGCTACTGTTGTCTTTCTCACTTGTGGGTTAAATGAGTGCGGAGGAATACTGTGTACGAAAGGCAATGTTTCACTCCTATCACAAAGTGTGCTGGCAAAAATCTGCAAGTGACTCTTACAATTCAGGTTACTAGAGCAACTCTCTGTAACCTGTAGCCAGAGTAATCTGAATATGGATATTTTCCTGAGTAGATGGATACTCTTGTGGCATTATGCACGTTTGATAGTTGTATTTAATGGGAGCACAACTGAGGCAAGAGAAACCTGGGGAATGAGCAGGTGGGAACAGACACACTAATTAGAAACTGCTCTCATTTCTTCCTTCCACATCCTCATGGAGCCAATTAGAATTCTTCCTTCACGAAGACATATAAATTCTCTGCAAATTACAGAAATCATACCTTCCACTGGAAGTGTGTAGTACCCATTTGACAACTGAGTTATATACCAAGAAGTCACCATACCATGGAGGTTAGGAGCTCAGCCTTAGGAGTAGGGCCAGAGGAGGACTTCCTTGCTTGAGAGTTTCAATATTTTCATCTGGAAATGGGAACTGTTTTGGTGCGTAGAACTGTTTTGGGGGCAGCTAGAAGGAGTAGATTAAGATGACATGTGTGATATTAGGTGTTGGAGACTATTAGATGTCTCCAAGACTTTCAAGATTTATAAAGATGTTGAAGCCCCAGAAAAAATTAACTTTAATTTACAAAAGTAAATTGCAAAACTAACAATTATTTAGTCTGTATGTAAAGCATAGCATCCTCTGAATCATACTACAAGTTAATGCTTAGGATAGAGTTATATATAAACATGAATCGATTATATGATTAAAAAGTTGTATTTTCTTTAAATTATATTGTTCAAAAGATATACGTATGGTTGAATGAGAACATATTTTAATATGCTTGATACATTAAACATGATATTATAATTTGGAGCTGGAATGCATCCCAAAGGACCATGTATCAAAAGCTTGGTCCTCAGTTTGTGACGCTTTTGGGAGATTGTAGAAACTTTAATAGTTGGAGCCTCCTAATTAGTAAGTGGAAGGAAGGAAGGTCACGAGGGGTGTGCCCTTGACCGACTGCCACCCTTTCCTCTGTCTCACTCTATCACAAACTCCTTGCCATGATCTTCTGTCTTACCACAGGCCCAAGAGGAAAGGTCGTCCAAGTGACCACGAACTGAAACCATGAGCCAAAGTAAACCTTTCCTGCATTTCAGTTGTTTTCTCAATTATTTTATCACAGTAATGGAAAGTTGACCAACATTTGGCTTTTATGTAAACATCCCTTGGGCTTATAGGTATTTTAAGATGGCTCTAAATGGTTAAGAATATAGTAGCACTCATTAGGATTACAGCAATTTTTAAAATGATGCATTGGATATTGAAGTTCATGAGTTATTTGTCTAATTAAGCCTTAAGATCCTAGAGAAAAACATTGTAGAAAATGGATTGAGTCAAAATATTGTCCCGGATCCACCTCTGAGCTGATGTAGAAATTTAGGCCCAAGATTCTAGTCTGTTCATTTGAAAAACAGGAAGACTAAGACTTGTTCCAACTCTCTGCTGGGCTATGGTGATGCTGATGGCCATGCTTAATGTGCTTAACCGTGTTAACAAGGGAATGCAAGCCTTTGAAATAAGCATAGTGCCTGTCAAGGCTACTTGCACACAGGGAGGCATCAATAAATGCCTAGTGACTTCTACAAAAGGTTCCTTTCCACATTCAGATCGAAGCAATACTTATTATATGTTTATAGTCTTTCCCCTTTTGTCTATTTAATGAATGCTTATTTAACAAATCTAAAGTCTCCTCTAGGATTAGTAATAAAACTAAACACTCATCATCTACATGAAACTATTCTTTCTTCTTTAAAGGGATGGGTTTATATATTGCTATGATTTCAATGTATTCCTAAAGTATTTTTGTTTAGAAGTTCAGCTGCCAATTGAATAATATTAAGAGAGGTGATTAGATTGTGGGAACTGTCTTCAGGAAGGCTGTGGAGGAGTGTTAGTTATCATGAGGGTGGGTTCCTGAAAACAGCATTAATTCAGCCTCCTTCTACTGGCACATGTACTTGTTCCTCCCCTGTCTTCTTCTCTCCTTCCTCAATGGGATTATGTAGAATGAAGGTCCTTGCCAGATGTAGGCCCTTTGACTTTGGACTTCTCAACTTCTTGTGCATTATGTTAGGAATAGCACAAATGAGAATAAGATGGTTGACTATACCATGCATACTTTCTGACATTAAGTAAATATAATTGAAGAAAAGACAATGGCACCACCTAATTGTTGCCCCCAACCTTAAAATGTTATTTCAGAAAGAGCTCTAAGTATTTCTGGCAGTGACTGTTCTCATTTTAACCCCAATTTTCCAAGTTCAAGCTAGACTTTGCTTGAAAACTTGCTCCTTTTTAGGTCATGGAATGAATGCAAAGCACAGTACTCACAGGTGGCAGGCAGGAGTTCCAGGTGGTTGTGTCATCACTGCTGGTACTGATGCTGACATTACAGTTGTCAACCTGGGATGCACTGAGGCCATGGGGAGCCCCAGTGTCTTCCAGTTCTTCATTCTGTTGCCGCCGTAGGCTTGCCAGCATCTGCAGCTCAGATTCACTCATCTGGCTGGGTTGATAGTTTCTCCAGTTGTACTCCTGACCGAGAGAGAGGAAAATGACAGAAAGGGACACTTTGCTTATAGGATCTTTCTTAATTTTATAGGTTACCTACAAATGATACTCCTTAGCCTTAGCCATTATAATGGTTCCCTCACTGACAGAGGCCAAAATCCTTCACAGATTTTCATGAAATGCCTACCTAAACCTGTCTCATCTTTTCCTCTTGCTCTTGATGGGCTAGCCACATTATCCTTCACTGAGTCCTCAAAAACATGAAAGTTGTACCTGCCTTAGTTCCTGTGCACATGTTAGTACTCCCTAAATCTGCCAACTGGTAGGCATCCTTTAAGTCCCTAAGATATGGCCTTTCTTCTGGGAGGCCTTTTTTGACAGTGACATATGGGGTCAGGTCCTTTATTAGGTGCTTTCGTGAGTTTAAACATTTTCATTTTTAATGTCTCTATATGTTTGCCATCAGAGGTTTAACTATAAGTTACATGATCTAAGGTTGTTTTAAATCTATGAATTCCCAATCTGCAGATAGGAAAAGCCAACTCCATATTGCCTGTCAGACCTTTGTAATAAAATTAAAGTCAGCAAATTCAACATTCAAATTTAAACAAAGTATAGATGTGAAATATTTTATAAAAGTGTATTCTAATGTATATTCTTTTTTTATTGTAAAACATGAACTTAAAAAGGATATGCTTTAAATATGTAAGTGTTGTGTTAATTCTATATCATACATTCATGGAGAAAAGAAATCACGTTTGGTCTTACTAGGGAAACTTCTCCAGAAAGAATATTATTCCATTAAAGATAAATTAGAACTTAGTATATAGTCTATGAATACAATGAAAATGTCTATTTCCCCATAAAAATGTTTACTTTTAGCATTTACCACAACTGCACTTGAGTGACTGTTTCTGGAGTTCACAGGTAGTCTGTGAGCTCTGCATTGGTGAGCATCATGATTTCCTTGCTCCTCCTTTATTACATATCTGGTGCTTAGAAGGTGCTCAGCCAATATATTTTTTTCCTTTGCTTATCCTGGGGCTTAAACTCAGGGTATTGGTCCTAAATACTTCTGCTCAAGGACAACACTCTAACACTTGAGTCACAGCTCTACTTCTTGCTTTTAGGTGAACTAGAGGTGAGGGTCTCATTGACTTCCTGCCCGGGCTGGCTTTGAACCATTATCCTGAAATCCTCCTGAGTAGTTAGGATTATAGGTATGAACCACCAGTGAATGGCTCAACCAGTATTTGTGTTTTTGTTTTTTTTTTTGTATTGGTGCTGAGGTTTGAATTCAGGGCCTTATACTTGCTACACAGGTGCTCTACCTCAGAGCCACTACTCTAGTGCAACCATTATTTTTATAAAAATATAAAAATTCAAAGAAGTTTTTAAAACAAGAAAAACAATTCACTATTTACAAAGCACAAATTCATAAGGGATTTCCCTTATGCATCAGTATTACCTTATGGTAATACTGATAATGGCTACTATCATCAAAAGATGTCAAATATTTGGCTGCACATTAGAAACATATAAGGTATGAAAGCCAGAAATCCTTTAGAGCTAGAATAAACATCTCCCCCAATGTAGAATGCAGGTCAATAATTCAATGTATAACCTATAAAATTAAGAAGAATGAGGGAGGGATGGAAGGGTAAACAAAGGAGGAGGCTGCAATGCTTGGTAAGAAATGTACGCATTATCCTGCCCATGCAATTGTAACCCCTCTGTA